GCTCTCGTACTAAATATGTAAAAAAAACCGTATAACAAGTCTAATATTCTTATTTAATGAATTAAATGGCTAACTTAACTATTATTTATATATTAATCTATTTTTAAAATAATCTATTTTTAAAATAATCTATTTTATAACTATTAAACATAAAATTATTTTAGAGACAAAATAAAATACTTGTACAAATTTTATATGTAACTTACCCGTACAGTAGTTTATTTTGTCAAGTATGATCTCTATACGCCTATACCCAAGGCCCGCTTAAAGGACATATCGTTGCGGTTGGCAAGTCCAGAGTTTTGGATAGTTTTTTGCTTTCCATCCCAAAATTTAACCATAAGTCTTCTCCTCCTCTACAGAGATCGTCCTCGAGCTGGTCAATGTGGATAATTCACACATGGACTAGAAACAGGGTGAGTAGTATAGGTAAAATTCACAAAAAGTTAAATAGAGATAGAGTGGACAAGAGATTAGTCTAATGGTAATATCACTAGTTTTGAATTTGAAGGTCTCTCAAATCTCTTTACATAGTAGTACCTAACTATAAAAATCAATCTATGCCACCCTAATTTATAAAACAAAAAAGTTCAACGGAGATGGAGCGACTGCCCATCAAAATAAGTTTTAATATATTAAAATATGGGGATCATACGATAGAATGGATAATTAAAAAATAATGAGTTGAAATGTTTGAGTGACCACCGAGACTAGACACTAATTTATTGCTCAATTTGCTATTTTACTTCTTTCACTTTGTTAACAGGATTATATTAATGATTTGTCATATAATAATTATTGGATAGTACTATACTGTACTTGTTTTATGAATATATTAGGATTGAATGCTTTTACATTCATATTGAGAATAGTTGTGTATTCGTAATTTCATGATTTATTAGGTCCGCCTAGTCTTATAATTGAATATCTACCTATTGAATTCTAGGTATAGTAATGTTGATTATACGGGCGAGTATTACCAATTGGTACTCGTAAACCGCAAATATGGGGATAGGGTTGCAAACCCCCCTTCCCCGGGCATGAGGTATGGAGATTGGAGTGGATACGGGTTTGGATGTTTGGAAATGGAGATGAGGATAGTTTAGCGAAATTTGCATCAAACCCGCCCCATTGTCATTCCTACTCCTCTAACTTTGGTATGGTCGTATCTCGTATGGGGATGCATATAGGAAAGCCAATGAGCCAGCTCGGGTGAGTATCTAACTACTCATACTCGTTTTATTAGGTTGAGTTTGACAGAGTATTTTGTATCGGAACATGGGTTAAAGAAGGTCGATCCATGCGAATATGCATTTAAGGGAAAAACACTTAACAATTAAAAAAATTATTATAATATTGAAAAAAATAGCTTATTTATAAAATACAAACACTAAAATAATAAATGAAGTTAAATCATTTTAGAAGCGTAGATTCACTGTTTTATATAACTAAATATACGATAAGTGAAGTAGTCAAGATATCTTATATAAAAATATATAAGGGCTCAATTTTTCCTTTTTAATATTGTAAAATAATTTCAGACCTTTCAACGGGGTTAAGATCAGGTGACTAAGGGGGGTACCCTTAGTCACTTGGCTAAGTTAATCTCAGCCTTCCATGCTCATTAAAATCCTAAGGCTATAATTAATTTATTTTAAGGAAGGACAACATGGTAATTATACATTTTAATTTTGTAAATAAAAAAAAAAAAGAGTCCTTCCCTCACCTGTTTGTCGCACGCGGAGATGAATCCACAGAGACGGCGGCGGCCATGGACGACGGCGGCGAAGGACGACGGTGGCCAGGGACGACGACGGCGAAGGAAGACGGCGGGTCGATGGCGTTCTGTGTTCGGGGGAGAGAGAGGGAGGCGGAGGTAGAGGAGAAGAGAGAGAGGCGAATCGACCGTAGAGGAGAGAGAGCGGCGGCGGTAGAGGAGAAGAGAGAGAGACGGCGGTGGCGGCGAGGAACAACGACGACGGCGAGGAACGACGGCGGCGGCGAGGAACAACGACGAGAGGGACGACGACCGTGGAGGAGAGAGAGGCAGCGGCGGTTGAGGAGGAGAGAGACACCGACATCGCCAATTTGTTGGCGGCGGCGACGATTTCGTAATTTCATCATTCCAGTTTGTATACTTTATGTTATGATTTGTACTGTTTGTATGTTTTGTACGTTTAGTATGCTTTGTACTGTTTGTCGGGTTTTTTGTAATGTTTGTACGCTTTGTTATTTTGTAATGTTTGTTGGTTTCTTTTGTATTGTTTGGAATCTTTGTATGACTATTTTGTATATATTGTAATTTGTAATTTTTGTTGCTCTAGTTTGTATACTTTTATGTTAAGATTTGTATACTTTGTATTCATTTGTTTGTAATACAAGTTTATCAATCTGTATTGTTAGTAGTGATATTTTGTATGTTTAGTATGCTTTGTACTGTTTCTTTTGTAATGTTTGTAATGTTTGTTGGTTTCTTTTGTATTGTTTGTAATGTTTGTTATTTTTGTCCACATGTTTGTCATTTTTGTCAACCATGTTTGTAATGTTTTTTGCATCACAAATCAATACATATAAAGTATACAAATTATTAGTACTTACAATACAAAGCGAAACATACTAAGAATACAAGCAAAACATACTAAGAATACAAACTATCAAAGAAAAACATACTAAGAATACAAACTGTCAAAGAAAAACATACTAAGAATACAAACTGTCAAAGAAAAACATACTAAGAGTACAAACTGTCAAAGAAAAACATACTAAGAGTACAAACTAATGTTACAAACCATACTGACATTTTGTACAAAAATACTAACAATACAAACTAATGTTATAAAACATACAAACTATACAAATCATACAAACTAATGTTACAAAACATACAAACTATACAAACTATACAAACTATCGTCTCTCTCTCTCTCCTCTGTTTTCCCGACAACGGGCAGATCTACTTTCTCTCTCTACCACTACCTCCGTCGTAGTCGTCTTGCCCTCTCTCCATCGTCGCCGGAGTCGTCGTTGAGATCTCCTCGCCGTCGCCCCCCTCTCTTCCACCGTCGTTGTCCTTCTCTCCCCGCTGCTGCTTCTCTCTCTCTCTCTCTCTCTCTCTCTCTCTCTCTCTCTCTCCTACGGCCTGCAATGGCAACGCAGAAGAGGATGGATGGAGGAAAAATCGCGATCTCCTCCACCGTCGTCGGCGCAGTCGCGATTTCCTCCAGCGTAGCGCCGTCGTCTTTCTCTTTCTCTCTCTCCTCCTCCGCCATGGCTTCTCTCTCTCTCTGGACATTGCAAAAACGGGAAAGGGAAGAGACGTGCAGATGGAAAAAAGGAATTCAATAATAATAAATAAAACAAAATCAAAAAATAGAAGTTAATAATTTAATAATAATGCCAAAACTGCCCTTCTCATTTAATAATAACTAATAGATTTATCTGGACCATCAGATCAATCCAAAGGCTGAGGGGGGCTTAGTCAAGTGACTAAGGACCCCCCCTTAGTCACCAGATCCGGACCCCCTTTCAACGGGCCCTACAACACATTCTCTTATTTTGAAAAACTTATAGGACATATTCCTATGATATCAATGTCCGCATAATCTATCAATAATCATTAGAGATTTTGTTAGTCATTCAATATTAAATAGTATTTTCCGTAGCTCATTGCAAAAGTCATATTTCAAAACTTGTAAAGGAGGATGGTAGTAGCAATACTAAATTGATTCTATCAATGACCATGGTCCTATGAAGCTAAAGAATTTTACTTTGCTCTAGAAAATGTCTCGCCTATCTTCATATTATATATCAAAAGTCAAAAGAATAATAAATTGTAGAACTTTATTAAATTTTATCGGTTAAAAAATTCAAGTTCTCCCCTTAATTTTCAGTAGAGGAATTTTACAATGCTATATAGCATTGGTGCTATAAGTTTTTTCCTTTATGGTACAACTTGAAGTTGTACCTTTAACGTTGTGGTACAACTTCAGATGGTACCTATATTATTCTGTACAAATCATTTTATGGTACAACTTGAACTTGTATCTTTATGTGATAGTACAACTTTAAGTTGTAAAGTTGTCCCATAGCATAAGGGTACAAATTCTTTTATGGTACAACCTCAACTTATACATTTAATATTATGGTACAATTTCAAGTTGTACATTAAAGCACCAATGTTTTATAGCATAATAGAAGTGCTCTTTTCTCTGTAGGGGCATTAAAGCACCAATACCTTTTATTTTTAGGTTCTCCCGCCCAAATAATAGGCTTCTTAACCGAAATTGCTAATTTTCTCGATTCTTTCTTCCCCCAACACTTTTCAGTTTGATCATCTTCCAGAGTTGTGAAGTATGCCTGCAGAAGAAAGTTTCAGGCTTTCAGCATGGAGGAAAGGCGTAGGATAGTTTTCCCTGCCTTGTAAAGAAGCCCTATTATTCTAGTTCCATGGTGGTTTTCAAGTGTTCCATATGTAATCTGCATACATATTTATTCAGCCTCAGTCATTGCCTTCAGCATTGTTGGTAGTCAGTCAAGCTTCAATGATCAGCCAGTTCAGTTCTCTTTTGTTCTGTTCTGCAAATATATGTGGGTTTCGATTATGGTTTGCTGAAAGTTTGCTCGTCATCTTAAATTCCACTGAGGAACTATAGAATTTGATTTACCAAAAGAAAAAAGAGCTCCAAAACCAGAATAGGAATAGGGCAAAACCAAAGGAAAAGACAAGTTCTCGACGTCGGTCAATTCATCGAACACTTGGCGCATGTTCTGTCTTAAACTTAGCTTGAAGTCACCTGCCCTCCACTGTCCTCATTAGGTGTTAAGAAATGGAGGGCCATGCATCCATGCAAAGTGAAGAATGGCGGAAGAAAACCTGTCCACTTCATTTCTTATGTGGCGGCGACCCTTCAATGCCCTCCTTTCTCCTATAAAAAATACCTCTGCAAATTTCAACAAACACTGCTCATCACTTTGACACTTACCACAACATCATCATCATCATGGCGAGATCCAGCCCTTCACTTCTCTGCCTCTCACTCTGCCTTTCCGCACTCCTCTTCCACGCTTCACAGGCTAGGCAGCAATGGCAGCAGGGGAACGAGTGCCAGCTCGACCGGATCGACGCGATCGAGCCCGACAACCGCATCCAGAGCGAGGCCGGTACGATCGAGACTTGGAACCCAAGCCACCAGCAGTTCCAGTGCGCTGGAGTTGCCATTGTGAGGCGCACGATCGAGCCCAACGGCCTTCTCTTGCCTTCTTACAGCAACACTCCTCAGCTCATCTACATCGTTCAGGGTAACCATATGCATTAACTAATTACTACTCCTGAAGCCGGCCGCATCACCACCGTCAACAGCCACAACCTCCCCGTCCTCCGATGGATCCAGCTCAGCGCTGAGAGGGGTGTTCTTTACAACGTAACCCCACTTCTCCCTCTGCGGCTTCCTCATTTCATTCCCCCGATTAACTAACCATCTTTGGAACTCAAATTTGTAGGAAGCCATGAGACTGGCACTGGAACCTGAACGCCAACAGCATAATCTACGCCATCAGAGGGCAGGCCAGAGTCCAGATTGTGAACGAGAACGGCAACTCGGTGTTCGACGGCGAGCTGCGCGAGGGACAGGTGCTGACGGTGCCCCAGAACTTCGCGGTGGTGAAACGCTGCGAGAGCGACAGGTTCGAGTGGGTATCTTTCAAGACCAACGACAACGCCATGGTCAACTCGATCGCCGGACGGACCTCCGCCATCAGGGCTATACCGGCTGACGTTTTGGCCAACGCGTGGAGGGTATCGCCGGAGGAGGCCAGGAAGTTGAAGTTCAACCGCCAGGAGACTCACTTGGCCAGCTCAAGGTCTCAGTCCTTCAGAGCTGCAGCAGCTTAGAGGCTAACATGAGTTCTGCAGCTTAGATGCCAACTGCTGGCTTTCTGAGTTTGTTTTTCACAGGCAGCAAGGTGTGGAGTGGAGAGTGGGAAGTAGCCCCTAACCACAGTAAGAATAATGTAATAAAGTAAAAATGGGAGTAGGAGCTCCAAATGTTTGGCAATTTATGGAACACAGAGTTCGATCCCAAATCTGAAACCAACCCAGAGTGGACTCTTAACAAATGTGACTAAAACCAGACTATGATATACTATTATGATACGTACAAGCTTTCTTTCTCTCTCAAAGTGAAGAGAAAATAGGGACCCCTGGCAAGGTGACTCCAGCATCCACAATGAAGATATTGCCCGTCACATACTGCGACGAATCATGGATTAGGTATCGAATAAGCGATGTCAATGCCGGATCTGCAGTTCCATATGTTTGTAGAGGAACCGTCTTCTCAGCAACCCGAGTGAGCCAGTCTTTCTGCATCAAACCTTTGGTGATCTCGGACTTGAAAAGTCCAGGCGATATTGAGTTGACCCTGATCTTGTACACCCCCAACTCCAGCGCCATCACCTGAGAAAACGCGATACAAAGGATAAAGACTTTGAAGGAAATAGTACGATTAGGAGGTATTGGAAAGGATGTTCATGGAGATTGGGCACATGGTAACCACAATGAAGTCCTATCTATATCTATACCATCATCAAGTTCAATGCAATATGAAGAGAAAAAGGCATAGTTTACCTTAGTCATGGCATTAACTCCCGTCTTTGAAGAAACATAGCCAACACCACCAGGCAATTGACCACGATGGAGACCAGCAATCGATGAAATGTTGATTATGGAACCTCCAACCTTCGCATCACGCATCCTGATGCCAACTGACTTAGAAACCAACCAAGTCCCCGTCAAATTCGTCTTGATCACATGATTCCACTCCTCTTCAGACAGCTCCAATGGGGTCTTTACACTTCCTCTCACGCCTGCATTGTTGACCAATGCATCTATCCTCCCAAACGCCTCCCAAGCCTTCTGTACAGCTTGATCAATGGCAGCACCACCGGCTGATACATCCAGCTCCACCGCCACAGCACGCAGACCACTACCAGGCTTCCCTGACGAGGAGGAAGAAGATTGAGGGGCTGGGAAGGGGAGCTGATTGATCTCGCTGCACAGAGATTGCAGGCGATCGATACGCCTAGCAGCAGCCACTATCCTGCACCCGGCTTTCGCTAGGTCGAGACAGAAGTCTCGGCCTAAACCCAAAGATGCACCCGTGACCAGGACCACTTGGTCTGACAAGTTGCACCATGGCTCGAGCTGGGCTGGCACAGCGTTAGCCATTTCCTGTCCTGAGAGATGTTCACAAACAGAGGGAACAGTCACTAACTGATGCATTTCGACCAAACAGAAGAAGACCCACAAAAAGGTATAGCAAACCAAGTGCTCGACCGCCGACCGGAAACAAAAAAAAAGGTCGCGCAATTCATCAAACAGTTGGCGCTCGTGTTAACGGTAGCATAGAACTGGGGAGACTCGAACAAAGATCAGACATAAGCACAACATTATCGATCAATCAAAATTCCAGTACTCACCAGCAATTCAACTGCGGAAGAAGGCAGTTCAATCTCGATCAGAAGCCTGAATCCTGAAGATGGTAAACACGAACAGGGGGAACCAAAATCGAAATCGAAAGGTGAAAGGAGCAAGCCTGCCTCGTTTGAACAGGGCGATCTTCCAAGCTTCGATTTTCTGAGAGAGGATTGACGAATGGGTCGGGAAGTCGGAGGAGGGAAGCGAGGATATGGAGGGAGTAAGGAACCCTACGTGATATTGCCTGCTTCACTTCTGGGCACTTTCCGCTGGTGAAATTGACGACGCAGCGAGCGCGGTAGTTGGTCACTGTGCCACTGCAGAGGAGTTGACGGACAAAGTGGCAGCAGTTGACGCATTGAGTTAAATAATTGTTTTTATCGCGACCGGCTGAATGATTAATTTTTAATTGCAGTTGTAGTCCATCTACTGTATCTTACTAACAGAACAATCCATGTAATATTGAACTTTGACAAAAAGGTCAGTATATAACATCATTTATTCATTTTACTCCCTTGCTGGCAGGGTCACCCTTGCCATGTCTGTGCTTAACTCTTTACCTACCTATGCAATGCAAACCACTCCCCTCCCCCTGTCAGTGTGTGAAACTATTGACAGAAAAGTGAGAGGTTTTGTGTGGGGTTCTGTTGATGGCAAAAAGAAACTCCACTTGGTCTCCTGGGAGAAAATCTGTAGACCTAAAGATCAAGGGGGATTGGGGTTAAAATCAGCCCGAAACATGAACATGGCTTTCATGATTAAGTTGGGATGGCAAATGTTGAATAATGAGTCCGATTTGTGGGTACAAGTATTGCAGGGGAAGTACTTCAAACAAAAAAAATGGGGAGATCCAAGGAATGAAAAAGAGCAATCACTCAAATCTTTGGAAAGCTTTCCTTCAAGGAATGAGATTGATGAAGGAAGCAACGTGCTGGAGCATCAGGGACGGCAAATCAACAAGCTTCTGGAAACAACCTTGGCTGGAAAATGGTGTCCTCTTGGAGGAGTTCTGCCTTACTGATCTTACAGAGGAAGATAGAAACTCCACAGTGGCTGAATGGACAACACAGGAAGGTGAGTGGGACTGGGACAGGCAAACAAGTCCTCCCTAACGATGTCTTGGCCTCTATTGCAGGAATGGAAGCTCCCAAACCTGATCTTGGCGAGGATAAAACTATCTGGGGACTGGAAAAAGATGGACGCTTCAGACTGAAGTCTGCCTACAGGCTTGCTGCTGATGAGCTGAAGGCTGCTCCAAACGGCAAATGGAAAAAACTCCGGCAATGGAGGGGCCCAAATCGGATTAAGCACTTCCTCTGGCTAGTCCTTCACGATCGAATCTTCACCAACAAAGAAAGGGCCAGGAGGAAACTTACCCAGGACAGCTCATGCCAGCATTGCAAGGAGCATGAGGAAACTGCTGAACATATTATTCGCAGTTGCAAGAAAGCTAGGAGCATTTGGGGAAAAATGCATAACAAAGTTGTTGAGAAGAATTGCAGGTTACCCTTTCATGAATGGCTGCTTGTCAATCTACAGCAGGAGGAAACAGGAGTGGATTTTGGTATTGTCTGCTGGCATTTATGGAAGCAAAGGAACGAAGAGACAATTGATGGGAAGAACTACTCTAAAGACGGCCTGGTGGTGAGAATTCAAGCCTGGTTTAGAGTTGTCCAACAAGCAAAGGAGGACATCAGAAAGACGTCTAGCTTCCAGAATGTGTCTCCCACCACATTGCACATTGGTTGGGAGCCTCCAGAAGTGGGATGGATTCAACTGTAATCTTATGGATCTGTCCTAACACAGATAGGAGCAGTAGCTGCTGGAGGACTTCTCAGGGATCACCTGGGACACTGTGTAGAAGCGTTCACCTGCAACCTTGGGAGATGCTCCATCACTGCAGCAGAGTTAAAAGGTGTTGTTGAGGGACTAAAGATTGCTTGGAACAGGGGCTATCGAAAGGTTCACCTCAAGATGGACTCCACTACAGCAATTGAGGTCATAAGAAACAGAGAGAATGAAGATCACAGACATGGCAGCATTGCTCGCCAATTCAGACAGCTCCTCAACCTTGAATGGGAGGTTAAAATTGATCACGTGTACAGAGAGGCCAATTTTGCAGCCGACTACTTGGCGAATCTCGGCCATGATTTCCATTTTGGTACACACAATCTCAATGTGCGAGATTCTTGTTTATTTCAATGGCTTTGTCATGATGTAATGGGAATATCCCATGAACGTTTAGTTAATATGATATAGACGCAATTTGCGTCACTCTTTCTACCCAAAAAAAAAAATCACCCAAGTACTTTATTATAGAGTTGGCATGACAATGTAGCTTTCGGCTATTTTCCTAAATCACATCCAGGATGGATAATACTCATTGGTTTTGGATATTCAAGGATAATACATGTCTCGTATATCTAATATTATACTTGAAGTTTACCATATAGAATTTCAATCATAATACTAAATGATTCTAATAAATCTTTCATCGACAAAGATACAACCATTTTTAATACAGATTCAAAGTACTAATTTCAAAACATTCATTAATCCCCAAGACAAGATAGAGGAAGCCAATATGTGACTTTCGCCTATGAGAGCGGGTGCGAATTGAAGAAAAATAGCATTCGGGTTTGAAAGAGTGAAGGGCGCATTGAGTAAAAGAAATTAAGGTTTGGTTTGGATGTTCACTCAATTATATTTCAGCTTTTTTTAAATATCCTTATTATCATTGACATGTTCCAGTATGATCCTTATGTTTCTTTATATATAAATAACAACTCTTGATGGGGCAGGTATGAGTATGAGTATAAGGTAAGGAGTCTAAAACAATACATGTCTCATCCTCATTAAACTGTTTGCATATTTTATAGATACCTATCATAAGGAGTCTAAGACAATACATGTCGCACACTAAATGCCTCATCTAGGTACCTTCTAGTGTGCTCTATAGCACTCATGCTATAAAAAAAAAAGGTTACCTGTTGGTAGGGATGGTAATTTCGACCTGACCCGATTTACCCGACCTGTTTGACCTGTTTTGGGGCAGGCCAGGAATGGGTACCTCTCATCGACCCTATCTACCCTGACCCGCCCCATTCTCGACCCATTCTTGGCTAAATTACATCTAATCTTAGTCAAATTACTTAGGATTTTCCTCTTATTACATTATATTTTAGGTACAATAAAGTTGTAAATAAGTGAAAAACTCAATTTCTTCAATAATTTAACTACATTTTATCAAATTATGATTTCTTTCTTGGACTTTTAATTAAAATACGAATAACTCTAATGTTTTTCGCATAAATTATATACCCAATGAGTCGACCTGCCCCAACCCGCGCCCCATGATAAATTACCCGACCTACCACGAGGCGGGTATGGGTATCGAGATACCCGCCCGTACCTGCCCCATTGTCATTCCGGCTGTTGGGAGGTAAACCCACTATATGATTGGTCTCACATCGTTAATGACAATTAGCAAGCATACTTAAGGGGTCTGGGCAGATACGGCAGGGTTCACCATAAGCTTATGTACACCCTCTTTTTTCCACCCCGGTATTCTCCGCCCTTCCCCTACGATGATTCGCTGGCGGCTGAGCAAGTATTCTTAATTTCTTAGAGTTCTGTCTCCGATTCCCCAGTTTCCTGTGGATTTTTTTTCCCCCGACACGTGATTCCCCCATACCCTCCTTTCTTCTCCGCTCTTTTCCTTCGAAGATTTCATTGGTGCTTGGTGGAATGGTTTACTCCTTCCCTTCTTTCTTCTTCACCCTAAGATTTGTGAATGAGTTTGGTCACTCTGTTTTGAGACCAATGGGATTGGGTTATTTGAAGAGGGAAGAGGGTAATCAAAGAAATTTTTTCCTCTCTAAAACCGAAGGAGATTCGATCGGCCACTCTGTTTTGGAGTTGGGTTATTGGGAGAGGGTTCTGTTTTTTGGTTGATGGAAGAAGATTTCATACTTGGCTAAGGAGTTCAATTGCATGCAACCAACTTCCCTACTGCTTCATCAAGAAGGATATTCGATCGATGACTCTGCTTTGTGGACGATGGAAGAAGTAACTACACTTGGCCAAGGAGTTCCATTGCATGCAACCAACTTTCTTACTTCTTCATTCACAATTGTAAGTGCTGGTGGAGTGGCAGGAGCAGATGTCTATTTCTCCGAATGCAGAAAGCAAACCTAGAGAGAGCATCTATGGATAAAAGCACGATTCTTTTATCTCCATTTGACCCTCGGGAAATCGATTTTTTGTAGAACTTTGGAATCCAGTGTCAATAAGAAGGAATAATGGGGAAAGAGAATTGTGAATGAAATTGTGTGATAGATAGGGAGAAGGAGAAGGAAGTCATGGAGTCATGTACTCATGTTTGTTGACACATGTTCTTTCGTATTCTCCACGTGTAAAGAGGAGGGGCTTTGTCAGAATAATTATTAATGAGAAGGAAGATTACATTGCAATGAAATTTGTGGAAGACATAATATTGGTTGAGATTTATGATAGCCAAACAGGAATAGAAAGAAAAAAAACATCTTCAAATGGACAAATGCCATGATCCAAATTAACTCAAGTACCTACTCAAATCAAGAGGGGAGTCTCACCTTTAAATTTACCATGTTAATTCTTTTCAATTTAGGTATAAATTTTAAGGATTGAAAAATGGTATCGTATCGTTGAATTATTGTTAAACCACGATACTGCTGATATTTTCGATACAACCTACCTCATTCTCTTTAAATTGACTTGGTCTTCACTCTTCAGATTATTCAGGGTAAAAAAATTAAATGTTAAAGTGCATATTCTCACAAATATTTTTCTTCATTTTCGCCTAATTGAAGAAGTTTTGCTAACCATACTCAGTAGCATGCCAAAACTATCCAAGTTATTCTCCCATTCTCTCATAAGTCTATAGGTACAACTAGGGCTGGCTATTTGGTCCGGCTTTTTGGTTTTTTCCGAAACTAGACCAGAACCGGATAAAAAATCATCCAATTCAATTTTCGGGCCTAGATTTAAGGTAAAAAGCCGTTTGGGATCGGACCGAAAATCGAATAAAGACCGGATAAGAGAGCCAAACACCCAAAATTTAACCTCCTCACCCTTTCAGGCCTTAGGCCACTCAAATCTCCCCTCCGGTCACTCAAATCTCCACAAGCTCAATCTAAAATCAAGACCGAATTGGGACCAGACCGGTTCAAGACCGGACCAGATCAAAACCGGACTGTATCCAATCCAATCTTTGGTCCTTATATTCTGAAAAAGACCAGACCGGGACCATATCAATTCAGGTCAATTTAACCGGACTGGACCGTATAGCCACCCCTAGGTACAACCTTCTCATTGAATCTATTTAACTAATTATTTATTAACTAATCTGTAATTATTATGACGTCTTCAAGATTAACAAATTTAAAAGGTTCATTTTAATTAATCCCACCTCATATTCAAGATATGATTACTATTGTAAATAATGAAGGAATATATATACCGTCTAGGTACAAATTACAGCTGTACCATATCTTATAGGTACAAGTTTCAGTTGTACCATTGAAGAATTTGTTTCACAAGGTGTAGGTACTACTCAAAATTATATCATAGTGTATAGGTACAACTCGAGAAAGTGTAGGTACAGTCTTGGCCCGTTGATGTTCCCGAAGGTATGAGGTTGCTGGGGACAAAACCCCATTGGCGTCGAATTGATTGCAGACGATCTTAGATTTAATAGGCCCCGCTGTCACAAAATGACACATGGGCTGATATTCTGGATTTTAAGAAAAACGAAATAAGAATTATTTATAGACAAAAGTGTGCATTAGAGAGAAATCTTAGTATGGAAAAATTCATGTCATAAAATCCTAACAACGAGGGCATGTAGGTACAAATTTTATTTTGAATTGTATAATAATATGACATTAATTTATAATTTCATTATTGCAAATCGATAGGGATAGCAAATAACTTACCATTGTGAGTATCCAATCAGATATGAATCAATTTGGTTGGAAAAAATCTAAGGGATATTACTTTTGTAAGAATTTACTTCAAACCCAACAAAGAGGGTAATGTATTTGTTGCGATTTTAGTAGCTTAATATGCATCGAGTCCTCATTGAATATGTGCTACAGCTATGATCTAGACTCACTTGCTTCAACACTTCGATCGTCCATATTTTTCAAGTATTATAATTATCTCGAAGACCAAATGTTTCTCATTTTTGCTCACTTTATAAACAATATATTAACAAAACTTGCATTTTATGAAAAAATTTCACATTGTATCAAGAATTTTGTATATGATTATTAGAAATGTTGAATTTTTCTTGAACACATACGAGTAGGTTTGGATACTCATATTCCATCCCCGCCTACTTTTGGTTGTGTGGACGGTTGTTAATTCACAATCATTATTCGAAAATGATTTATATGAAAAAATGGCTCTATCCAAACTTGTTGACATAGATGGCAATTGCATGTAGTGCAATTGAAACGGACCAACTTGGTCTACCACATGATGTTAGGAAATAGGAATAGGAAGTCTGCCAACCTTGTTCAGTATTTTGGCCTAACATGTTTTAGGTCATCCAATCCAATTTGTAACGAAAAGAAAGGAACCGCCAACTTTTATATAAATATAGATGTGTTTGTTTCCACTTCCAAGACGTGACCAAATAAAGGAATGAGGCGCCAGCCCAGCTCGACTCAATCAAACACATCTCTTATGTAACTTTCTAAATAATTACTGCTCACAATTCACCTCACCTGTTGGAATGGCAATTGGCAGTTCCGGGGCGGGTATCTTGATACCCATACCCGCTACATAACAGGTCGGATTCAGATCGGATAATTTATCACGGGCACGGATCGGGGCAGGTCGACCCAATGGATATGTTATTTACATTAAAAACATTAGACATATTCATTATTTTCATTAAACCATAATATGATAAAATGTAATTAAATTATTGGAGAATTGATGTTTTTACTTCTTTATGATTTTATTATAGCTAAAATATGAGGTATTAAAAGAAAAAATCTTAAATGATTTGACTAAGATTACATGTAATTTAGGCAAGAACGGGTCAAGAATGGGGCGGATCAGGGCAGATCGGGTCGATGAGAGGTACTCATGCCCGCCCCGCCCCACCTATAAGTCAAACAGGTCGGATAAAACGGGTCATGTAGAAATTGCCATCCCTACTCACAGGTTATCAAAATTTTAAAGTCACCTCACAGAGAAGAAATTGTAAC